CTTAGATGTACCAAAAATGTGCCTCTTTAAAAAATTTGTTTAGAAAAGTTATTGAAGACTTTCAATTTTCCCACAAATCAGCTTACTTTGTACCTTGTATATTAATTGACTTGGCTCATTTCTCTGTTATGGAGCCGTTCACACACCCACCCATATACTTCCCGCCTACAATTTCGGTCTCTTGCTAGTCCCAGTCGCCCGGCGATTTTGGGGGACTGATTGGCTATTGGTTCATGTGGAACTGTTTACACGAGGATACCTTTTCGTGTATTGATGGACACGAAATTTGACTTTGACGACAGACTATACCTCGGATACAGTATCTCGCATAAAGTATCTCATTGTAAAAGAGGCTTAAGGGGTTTGAGCCATTCTCTCAAAATCAATTGGTTTCTAGTCGCTAGTCCAGATAAACTTGAACTGTTATGATAATTTTGGTTCGATTCTGACAAACTTATGCAATGCAATACAGGGTGATGACTTGCGTAACGCATCATAGGGATTTCAATGTAAAATTCATAACGTGCGATTATTGGCTCCCCAAATTATTTTAGAGCAAAGTTTTTTGTAGAAAAAAATTTTTACGCCAATCAACCGTATTAGTTTTCAATTTTTTTCATATAAAGACGGAAAATTGGAAAAATAAAATCCACATCTTTTTCAATAATCTGCGATGCCATGGAATTTTCTAAAACAAATAGATATCCAGTTATCAATTAGCAGCAGTTCGAAATGGATTTTATGATCGACTTGGTTACTGTCTTGCAGTTAATGGTGACATTTATTATAAATTGTTATATTAGGAAACCGTGTTTAGTAATTTTGTCTTTCTTTATGTTGAATTCGCTGTTCTAAATATAATACTTTTTGATAGAATTTGATTTGTTTTATAGCAGACATTCCATGGCATGACGGATAATGGCGTATAGTTTTTGTATTATAAAATTCCATGGCATCACAGATTATTGAAAAAGATGCGGGTTTTATTTTTCCCATTTTCCGTCTTTATTACGCAAAAAATTCAAAACTAATACGGTTGATTGACGTAAAAAAATTTTTTCTACAAAAAATCTTAATACATTTTTGCTCTAAACTAATTTTGGGGAACCAATAATCGCATGTTTTGAATTTTACATTGAAATCCCTATGGTGCGTTACGCAAGTCACCACCCTGTATAGTGTTTCATGAATCCTGTGTGTTTTTGTTGCGCTTCCTGTTGCTCTTGCAGTAAGAACACCACAAGGAGTAAGGCTAGCATTACACAGATTTTGGAAACATTCCACTTTGTGATTGGTTTATTCATGAACAATATTATTTGGATGTAGTCGCAAGTCGCAAGTCGTGTTGCTCTTCCCTTTGTTTCAGAAAATAAACTGCACCTTTGGGATTAAAATAATTCTCGAAATAATGACTATGTAGTCTCTTGGTACAGGGTGTACCTAATTTAAAAAAAAAAAACGATTCAAGCTCTTGCACACTCTGTTTTCCACCGAATTTAATGACTGCAAAACTACTTCAAAACTACAATAATTAAAATGTTTTATTTATTTATTTTCGGGGGCTACTAATAGCCGACTTAAATATTTTAAATGGCATGATTTCTGTTTTTTAATTGAATTTGAAAGAATTTGTCCCCCTACATTCAAAGATTTATATCAAAGTTACCTTTGATTGGAATTTTTCACACTGAAATAAAAGCAGTTGATTTTTCAAAATTTTATAGCATGCCATGGAAACAATCCTCTTTGCACATCGAGTGGAACAGAAATAAATCGTGAGAAATTTTATAGCATGCCATGGATAGCTGTTGTCATTAAGCTTAGTTGGCTTAATTTTTTATGGATTTCAATCAACTAACTGATATGTTGTAAGTGTACTTCGAGTGCAGCAATAAAAACCGTGAGCAAGCAGTGTGTCTACTGTATCGCGAACGATTCCATAATCGAGATCCTCCAGAAGCTCGCAAGTTGGCTAGGCTCGAAGAAATCTTGCGTAATTATGGTTATTTCAAAAAACCGAAGAGAGAGGAACGCCATATTTGAAATTGGGACGTTGAATTGAATGTTATAAGCTTAATGTCACAGACCAGAGGGAAATTACTGTGTGCAATAGGTGGGCGGGTAGTATTGCAATGTGTGCAATGCGTGAAATTTCTGTGCAATGTGTGCAATGTTTGTGCAATCTGTTAAATTTTTGTGCAACAATGGCGTGTGCAATAAGTATGTACTTCAGTAAGTGCATACGTGTACTAGATAATTCTTAAAATTTGGTAGGGCCTTTGTGATCACAAAAGACAATGATGCTCGAGATCATTTCGGGATTTATGCATGCGTCGCAACAAGGCAAATCCTCTCTTATTTGGTCGCAAACCAAAACAATTGATTAACGAGCTGATTCAGTTCTGCATTAGGTACCTACCAGTTTGTATGGAAATATGGTTTAGTTTTTCAATTACAATTTCCTCTGATGTTCCTTAATATTAGGTAGGTAGGTACTCATTTGTTTTGTTAATTCGAATATAAAATTCTCGGATAATTATCTTCTATGATAGTATTACGAGCATGTTATAACGCTTATTATTCAGAAAGTTTACGTTTGTGACACGAGCGAGTTTACGAGTGACTGGAACACATGATCCCCGTAAATAAGAGTTATTTGAGTTTTACATATGGCGTTATATGTGAATTTTTTATTAAAGGGAACGTGAAAATCGGACAAAATATTATTATTATTATTATTATTATCTATATTCCAAAATAAGCCGAATTTTTAATTGGCGAGTCCAATGATTTATGTAATTTGCGAATTTTACGAATGTATTCGGTATATTTATTTTATTGCTAATTCAGCGTATTAACTTTTGGCTAGACGGGTGGTATTTGAATAAGTAAATGATTACCCCCTCGGTCACAGAGAATCCACATAGTTCTATTCGGGAAATCGCAGCAAACAGTTCATGCAGTTTTAATACGACATAAATTGAAGTCGTACACTCCGGAAGAAGTGATACGAATTTTGCAATATATCTAAATCATTTGAAACACGATCCACTGTTTTATAGAAAAATTATTTGGTCGGATGAATGTACATTTAGTGACAATGACATTTTTAATAGAAATATTCAACGAACTAATTTCCAGCGAAGATTTAGTGTAAATGTGTGGCGCGGAATTTTTTTTGTAATCCATTAATCGGATTATTTTTATTGGCGAGACCGGTACCATGACATACGGAATGAAAATCTTCAGGACCTTTGGAAGAATTACCTCGTGCAGAATTAACTGGGTTGTATTTTCAACAAGACGGGGCCGCACCACATAAGTATACCCCTCTACTAAATACCTATAAATTTGTTACACCATCATTTTCCTACAAGGTGGATATAGGTACTCAGGGATCAGTGCCAGACAATGTGGACCATCTGAGATAGATAATAATTGATGCTTGTCGCAAAATACCACCAAATGTTTTGTTAAATTCAGTGTATATGGAGTAGTTCGTATATAGGTGCCATCAGTTGTGCATTGTACAAAGTGGTAGCCAATTTGAGCATTTTAATTGTGGTTATTTACAGCATTTTTGTAGTAATGGAGACATACTGTTTGCTCACTCGATGCGTTCCATAGCATGCTATATAATTTTGCAAATTATAGCTTTTTCAATTTTGTGTGTGAAAAGTTCCAATCAAAAGTAACTTTGATATTATCATTGCGCATTTAGGGGAAACATTTTACCAAAATCAACTATTAGTAACTCCCGAAAATTATAAATTAAAACACTTTAATTATGACCGTTTTGTAGTATTTTTACAGTCATTAAATATGGTTTGTGTAAGTATGTGTTGCATTGAATTCGGGCAAAAATTGTATGCGCTACAGCTTGCGGCGTTTTTTGAATTACACCCTGTATATAACATACTACTAAAGTTCATCAGAAAGATTTTTATTTTTTGTTGGTCTGGAAATACAGTCAAATGTTTTTTTAAAAATCTTGTAGATGGCTTTGGATGTTTTTTCGCGGCGAAGATTTTTGTTTTCGATGGCGCTCTTAAGCAAATCGACCTTTTTTGTTTTTTTGTTGTAAATAGTTGAAAAGACTTTCATTTGGTTGAAAAATTAAGGTGCCTTCGATACCAATATTTACAAAAAATTATAATTATGCTTATCATGGACATTGGACACATTCTTAGAATTGTAACGTTTAGAATAGTTTACAAATTTAAATAATTTCAAAACCTTTTGATTTATTATGCGTTATATCAGAGTTAACTCAAATGTATAGCATAAGAAACTAAGAGGTACTTTTGGATGGGTTAAAATGCTGTGAAATAACCCTCACGTATCACGAATTTTCGTCTATTTAGCTCCCATATACTTAACTAATAATGAACCTCGTCCTTGAACACCCCGTATTTGTGCAAGAGAATTAACAACTACCACTCGGAGATTCGGAAGTTTAAAATGAAACATATTTTATTACATTAAATTGTTAAAACTGAACAATTTTAATGTTAATAAAGACATTTTTTCAGAACAACATCGTTCGGTATACGGAATAATGCAATTACATTCTTCAGTTCGAATTGCAGACAATAAAAACGGGGGTGTTATGAATATAAACCCAAATCTTTGTAATGGACTGTTATTTGTGAGGGTGCAATTGTTGCCAATCAATAATACGCATAATATATTCCCTTTCGTGATCGTTTCCAAAATATATAAATTATAGGGGCCGTGCGGCACTTATTACGGGTACCTGATAAAACTAAAGGAACTACCTAAACGGTAACACAAAAAAAATCAAAAGCGCCTACATCTCCTAACATGACAAGTAGAAATTTCTATTTTGCGAGTTAGGGGCAGTATACCTGCAGCAATCTGCTTCCTCTAGCCGGTCGCATTCTTACTTTTAACAAAGGGAAAATATGCAGGTGTCATTTTTTTTTTGCTTAGCACGCGGCTTATTATTTGCGGGGTGGTTATGTTAAGTAATATCTTACCGTCGCCTCGAAGTGGTGCAGGGCTGTTCGGCGGAGACCTCGGCGAATCTTCAGGCGGCCCATCGACTCCCTCGTCCTCTTCCGAACTACTCGACGGGGACGGGCTACTTCCACGTGTGAAGCTTTTGTTATTGTTACTTCTATTAAAATAAACTCCATTATTTTGTAATAGCATCATGTGATGCTGATGATTCGCTAAATTATTAAATTGTTTTAATTGGGATGCGACGGATGTTGCCGATTTCGTCTTAAATTTCGACATCGTAAAGTCCAAGGGTTGATCGGCCTCGTGCGACGATAACAGTACGTGGGAGGGTTGTTGCAGTAACATCGGCATCTCTTCCTTTTGACGTTTCCAAAAGCTCTGCTCAAAATCGATAGTGTTGTTGTTTAAATTGTTTTTGAAAGTTTTCGAACCGGCCGCTGTTATGTCAATGTTATTATTCTGGAGGGTGGGTGTAGGGTTTGATTCAACCCACCTCCTCACGGTATCGCTATTATAATCCGCCAGATTCGCTAATTTAACGTCCATTTATTCACATTATCAGTTCCATCTCTTTGACGTAAATTGCACCGAAAAGACGTACGCACAAACGTTAGTCATATTCGTCGATTAATGTAATTAATTAGTACTAATGATATATAAATAAATAAGGTGCACTTCACTGAATGATATGTCGATCTATATTACCGAAAATGGCACTCGCACTATACACTTAAAACTACAAGAAACGATAACAGTAACAATGACCGCGGTGTGCAATTATCATTAAGGGGGTGAAATTCTTATGCTATGTGTATTCAAAATAGCCGTGGGTGCAATTGAAAAACTCCGGTGCTAACGGCGCCAACGTCTAAAGCCATATAACAACATGTATATGCATCGTGGGATGCTGCGCTTTGGAGGGGCAACTGACTCCGGGGTTCCGGGTGGTGGGAGCTTCTTAGAGCCAATCGCGACTCGCGTTATTCCGATATACAATAGTATATAAATTGTATGGATTATTTATTTATTCCTTATTTTGTATGTATGTATTTTATATGAATATATGGATTAGAAAGAGGAATTCCTTCTTCTTAGTTTTTTCCTTACATTTCGTATTCGACCCCGCGCTTCCTCCGCGTCCTTTTCGGAAAGGCGTCCGCAAATTTCGCGATTTGCTTAGCTAAATTGAAGAAATGCAAGTACTGTATGAAAAGTTTTACCTATCAGTTCTACAGACGCGGTTATAAATTTGTGGCCCAATTAATTGCATCATATTATTACATCTTATTCTTTTAGAGCACTCTGGATTAAATGGAATATGTTAATACTCGTAAAATACAAATAGGTATAATAAACCACGGATTTTCCAATGTTCCATATTATCCATAGGTACCTACCTACTGAATTGGACGAATGATTTAAATTGTGCCCATTTTAATATACACAATTCCATTAAAACAACCTACGAAATACATTTCGCATGTACCAAATAAAATTAAGTGTTAAAAAGTACCCACCAAAAAGATTTTAAACGGTGGTTTTTTAAACAATGAATGTATATTAGTTGGAGGGCAATTTACTTAAATTTTGAGCATAAAATGTGTACCTTTTTTTCTTTGGACGTTGGGAATCACTGTTTTTTCCACTAGTAATTTACAATCCGCTGGCGTTTGACGTATATTCTCTACCATATTCAGATAGGTATTTTGTGTATAATTTAAATTCAACAGTTCTTATGAGATTTCCCAAGCTGACAATGTGACAATTTTAATTGTGTTATAGAAAAAGTAGGCTAAAAACCATTTCGGGTGTTTTAAGGAAGAATCGATTTGAAGCCCATCTTCAACCATCCACACTCCTCATCTAGAAATTTTAAATTGCATATAAGAAGCCCATAAGAAAATGCGTTTCTGGGTGCTTTAATAAAAGAAGTAGGTAAATGGGTACCTATAAACCTCTGTAATATCATGCATTAGGTACATTTTTTACACTTTAATAACAAGAAAATTCACGACAACTGTATTACAAATTGCATTGCTGAAACCTAAAATCAAATCCACTGAAAAATGAGCTTTTGTTGTGAAAGTTGTGATCAAAGTAGGTAATTTCTGTTAAATAAATTATGAACGTAGATATTATCCATGAATATGTCTTTTATAGCAACAATGAAATCACTTTCCAATGTGGTAGGTTTCAATTTAAATTTCGATATAGGGGTGGTAGGGGGCAGTAGTTCGGCACGTGCAAATCGGTTTCACCCTCCACATTACCGAAACGGATTGGAATATTTTCTAACACCCCTAACAAGAAAGAAGGTATTGCCCATTGACACTTTTTAAACTGTCACTCTGTAACTTTTCTTTTTTATAGTACTTACCCGCATTTTCTTGAAGAGCTTTAAAGTACCTACCTATAACCAAGCAACGCAGTCCCGTATAAAAGACATTTATAGTAGCTACCTAGACGAAAATCTTATGTGTAAAAAACGTAGGTAATTAAATGTCCGGCGGATATTCTAATATTACGCATAGAATTCGTGTCATTTATATTAGTATTTATAGAGCAAATAAGCAAACCAATATTCCAACCAAAGTATCGAAATTAAAAAAATTTTTAAAAATTGTGATCAATTGTTGTAGGTAATTGCACGCGATAGCTATTTACCTACGTTTCGAAAAAGTCGATTTTCAATCGATCTGAGACAAGACCACCTATCGGACATCCTGTTCGTTCTTAATTGCGATTGACATGGAATTTTGGTAAATAGTTCCTTACCGTAATTATTATATACAATGAAATATTTCCCCCGCCCGCCGTTCTTTCTGTTCATGGTCTTCCACTTCTGCTTGAATGTTATCGATAATTAATGGGGCACGGACGTTTGGCTCTCGCTCCCACCGTTTCGCCTCCGCCGTTTCGTTTCCAGCCGTTTCGCCCCCAAGATTTAGGTACCTCCAGCTTTAACTTTAGCTTCAGCTGTTTCCAGTCGCACCACGAGGAGGTAGCTACACTATCCATTTTAAGAAGTTAGAGGTAGAAATCATCAGAGTCAGGCTGACAAATAAAACGAATTACGAATTTTGTAAGCTGGTAGTTTCTTTCAGTGACTTTCTTCTAAAAATACCTGCTATTGTCAACTTATCCACTATATTAAACTGCTACTATTTTTAAATAAACAATATTTTGGAAGAATCTCAAGCTATCATCAGTCGTTTATTGTCACCTGGTATATTGACACCGGTGTCAAAATCATACGTATACTTTCAATAAGTATCACGATTTAAAAAACCTCTCACAAAAGGATCAAATTTCAATAAATTTAAAATCGAAAAGTCGTTTTTACATCGATCTGAGCTTAAGACGTTTTTATATCTAGGTACTAAGGACCGCCGGTTCGTCTACGAATTACGATGTTCGTTCTTAGTTGTTATTGACTTGTAATTTTGGTAAGAGAAATTGCTGGGTATTATTTTCGAGTGTGTAAAATGACCACTAGGGAGCGCAACAGTTTCCAGTTTCTCTGGATTTTATCTAATAAAATGGGGTCAAAGATAACTGAGTTTTAATCTTGATATAATACCCGTTCTTTTTTGTTTTACTTTTTTTTTGCTATCTTTGATATTTGAATAAACAGTGTCATGTTCTTTTTAGAAATATAATAAATACCTATCAAGCATTAAAATCCTCCAATATTACACAAAAGTCGCCAGTAAAGCCAAAGAATTCAAATCTAGATTCAAATATCTTAATCTATTTTGGTCATTATCTCGAGTTCTAAAAAATATACAGATCTGGGATTGTCACTGAAATATTTAATTCTCTATTTTATCGTGTAAAAATCATCTCATTTAATTTTCTCAACAAATTTCGGTTAACGCCCTCTAGTGAAAAAGCAAATAGGCTGTTGGTAGGTCAAATAAAGCTCTGTTAAACGAGACCAAGTTTGTTAACATTGGTTAAGCCAAACTTGAGAAATCAATATTTATTTAAAAAAACCATTTGATTTCCCCCCACCGCTTGAGTTCACAAAAAAGAATAGTTATTATATCAGAATTAAAACTCAGCTATCTTACTTTTATTAGATAAAATCTGGAGAGATATTTGATCACGACTGTTGCGCCTCCTAGTGTCATTTTACACACTTGAAAATAATTTCCAGCAATTTCTCTTGGGGCCACTAGTATTACATAATTTTTTACCCGAAAGTTCTATGTCTAGATACTAGTTTTGGAGATATGGCCGACGGCAATTCTTAGTTAACCACTCGGTACAATGAAATCTCCCTCCGCCCGGCCGCATTGCTCTGGTGGTAGTTTAGTTTCATGTTCTATTACAAGCACCAAAATATAGCGCCGTTAGTAAGAAGAATACAGCACGCGCGTGCGAACAAAAACACAACGAAGACACGTGTAAGTTTCGAAAAGAAGCACTGATTCTACAGGGTGTAGCATATAAGACCCCTTGGATTATATTTAAAAAATACCGAAAAAAGTTTTAGAGCAAAATTGCACCGTCGCCATATTTCTAAAATATTTTTGACCACCAGGAGCGTGCTGTATTCCAGTGGCGTACCAAACTTGCATTTTTTTAAATGGAACACATCATATTTTATTACGGAATTGGAAAGTACTTATTTTTTTATCTAACATGTTGTGATTTCGCCGTTATAACCTTTTTTCCTTAAAATTGGACAGCTGGACAATTAAATCGTGCCGGGGGTTAAGTTTTGAGTTGAGGCACAGGTTAAGATCTCTTTCACTGTCACATTTTTTAGGTACTTTATCGAAAAATTAAAATGTTTTATTGATCTGCGCCAAATGTCATATATCTAAACGCCAACTTGTGAAAAAACGTCTACCATGATGAAAACAAAAGATGTTCATTTGACACTTGTCACAATTAACAGTAAAGTGTCGCAGTGTATGATTGTTTTTTAATCAATGTTGCGAAAATGTTACAAAGTCAAGCAACAAGTAACGAAATGCGTTTGTGGCTGTTAATTTTTTTCTTTTCAACCCTGTGTGGAAACGGGAAAAGAATATTTCCACTGCAGATGGGCACTGCATGCGGTAAGAGTCCGCTAATCAAAGATAACCCATCCGCCTTTACACATTGTGTGCTTGCGGAAAATACTGGATTTGACTACCGAGTATTCCTCAATTTTGACTTTTATTAGATGAGAGCGACTTGCCCCAACACATACCGGGAGGCAGTTCCGTTCTACGCTTTTCGCCCTGTGAACCGAGCTTGAGTGTTTGTGTGGACGCGTTTGTGTAGGAAAGGAAACTCCTCTTTACGTTGATAAATAGTCGTTTTAACAATTAACGAATTTTAAAGTGTAAATGGAACGTTTTAGGGCGATTAGAGTGTTATGGTAAGATCCCTCACATTCGTGCTGCCTCTCAGTAGGTATGTTTTATTTTCATTTTTGTTGTTACTTTGTTTCTTGTACTGATGAAGCTCCCTACGAAAGTGGGCAAATCGTTGACTTTTCCCTATTCGGAATCTTAATAACTAACGGAATGACGAACGATACTAAGTATGAATTTATCGAGGCGATCGTCTTATCAGGAACGCACTGTATTATATTGTATCATATTTTTCAAAATTTTGAAATGACATACTTTTACCGTCAGCTATTTTTATTGATTGGTCTTAGTTAGCATGGATACAATAAACAAAACAAAATCTCCATGAATCCATGGCTTACCATTTAAAAACCGAAAAAAATATGCCTTTAATTTTTGGTTCATTGATCAAATTGTTTTTGTCAATTTGATCCATGAACAAAAACCATAGGTTGTGCTTGTGATACATAGATGTAATCAGAAAGGATAATTGACGTACCAAT